ATAAGAGAAAACATTCCTGAATTTTAAATCTGTTTTGAAGAGGAAATATACTTCTATGGTTCTGGTCAAGGAATAAGTTTACCTCAACTCCTCAGTCGTTAGGAGAATGGAATTATCTTCCAGACAAACACTAAGGTTTCATCAGAAGTTGGAAAATATACCAAACACAGATTCTTCAACATGTTTCATTTGTTCCCCATTTTATCAACCTATTTCACATGCTTTATGCAGAGTAAAATGAAACGGGAAAGTTGAAATATTGTGCTTTTTCTTGGCCAAAAAAAAAAAAAAAAAGAATCAACCACAAACAAGCACAAAGTCCAGGTTTGTATCTTTTAAACACTATTCACACTGGGCTCAAATTATGCGCATAAACATTGCTAATGTATTTGCTATTAGTCTGTGTGACACCTTATTTCTTTAAGTTTGCATCTCTTGGCATGGACTAGAAAAAGTCTCTCCTCTCTGAGAGGGCTAGTTAAGATGTATCTTGCTGTTTCTCCGTATCTTTAGTATGCAGGGAGTGCAGAGATGGAGATAAAAGGAGAAATGTCTATCTTTGAGTCCTCTGCAATACAGAATAAGTTATCAACCTACTAACATGCATGTCTGAATAGACTCCTTTGGCAGGAGGGAGATTTTATCTGTCCTGACATGCGAATTCCTCCCTCATGTCAATCCATGAAAGTACTAAAGAATAAACTCTCTAGTAAAATGAATGTGGCATACCACTGGGACTTAGAGAGCATCATATTTTCCCCTAGCTACTTTTTTTAATTCTCCAACTGAATCCTTGATATCCATATAAATTAGTCACTCTGAAGAACTACTTGAAAATCCACTGCTTTAATCTCACAGGCTTGGGGAGGGCGGCTCATTCCACTAAAGCCTGGGAGTTCATTGTCTCTTTATTTTTCCTCTTCAGCTGAGCAATGTGCCATCACATCTACCCCCGTGCAGAAGCGCTCGGGCAGCATTTGTGCTGGAAGCTTTGCAGCTGTGCAAGTCAAATGAGCAGGCACTACTTTGCCCTCAGATCTGGTAGGCCCCAAGGTACAGATACGAGCAGTCAAAATGTCCTATTTAGCATCATGAAGTGCCCACCCATGCGTGAGGGAAAAAGATGCAATATTTTGAATGAAGCTGAACACAGTTGGTTATTACATTTGGGGGGCCTGAGAGGGAAAGTCACATTGGTCTGTTTGCAGATAAATTATCTGCAATATTTCACATATATTTGTTGTCACACTCGGCACTGGTGTGAAGACTCCCCTCTCACCAGCCTCGACAGCACCTACAAGGAACAAGGCTGCCGCTGCTGAAATGAATCCCTTAGTCTTCACTTATGCAATAATTTCACATCAATAGTGGTGGTACAGGGAGAATAATAATCATTTTTATAGAGAAAAACATAACCGAAATAGTAAAACAGACAACAAAAAAGAAGTAAAATAAAAATGATCCATCCTTTCTTCCTTTGGTCTCCTGTGTTTATCCCTAGACATTTATGATGTACTACATAACAACATACTGGCTCTTATTGTATCGCGTCGAAGGCAAGAAGTTACACTTTGATTTGTGTTTTGCCCGTGCTTTTGTGTCTCAGTTAAAGAATTTAAATGCTAGACAATTCCTATCCTATTTTTTATTAATATTTTTAAGTACTCTCTTAGGGGCCAGGCACACAAAGTTGTTGTTACATCTTTATGTGATATCACTCCAGACCTTAATGCTCTTCAGCATTTCCTCCACCCCCCACCCATCCCCATCCTTTCTTTTGGCACTCTATTTATTATTTCCAACTTTTCTTTGTACTCAGTACCTGTGATGCTCGAAGCATCTGGACTGTTTGCCATTCATTCCTCTTCATGCCTGTAAATCTATAACTTGAGCTTTTACTTAAAAATGAATGTAAAAATGCAAAGCAAGTTGTTCCAGCCTTACGGAGAACGGCAGTCTATCCCTCCTTCTGAACTTCCAATGGATAGTTAGGGATTAAATAGGGATCTGCACTTACAGAACTTTAACTTTTGAAAAGTACGCAGCTAAGGGCTATATAAACAAATATATGAGTGTATAGACAGATATGGAAGAATAATCAATTGTCTTTTTGAAACTGAAGCTGGGATGGAAGCCTGGGGAGCAATCCTAATGTTGCCAATGGGTGTGCTACCACCAGCAGCACATGCTTTTGCCTTTATCCCCCTATAGAGGAAAGAATTCTGAAGTTTTGCCATAAAACCAAATTGATGGCAATGTGTTATAATGACACTTCCCTCATTTCTTAAAAAGTAATTAATTCCACCTAGGGTGACATTTTCAAACTCCTGTCTTCAGGTCTTTTCAGCTAACCTGAACTAAATCTTTTTCAAAAGCTCACAGATGAGCAAAAGAAAAAAACCCCTTTTTTATTTTATGGATCAAAGGATTTCCCAATAGATTAAGACTTTCCATTTTTAATGTTGCAAATTCCTCATTTTCAGTGCAGAACTAGGGGGGAAAAGAGACTCAAGTGTCAGGTGTGCAGCTGTGGCAAGGTGTTGGTGGGATTTTCTTTGGGCCTGTAAAGCAGTGAACGAAATAAACATCCAAAGCATGGATACATATCCTCTAATACTTTCCTCTATCCCTAACACAAACCGGAAAAGTAAAAAGCCTACAAATGTATGTATCATTGAATGGAAAGTTGGAAATGGAAAAGCAGTATGGTACAGGTAGAGTCACACACTGGGTTAAATTCAAAGTGGAGAAAGAAAACAGCCTTGATGGGCTGCTTCGTATCTGTCTCTCTCTAGACACATATGCACATACACACACAAACACAGAAAATGTGTTTGATCCTGCCCTTCTCTATGCAAGAGCGTATCTGAGTAGGCGATAAATCATCCGCTTGGGCATGTGCACACAGAAGCCAGTTTGAAAAATACAAGGAGCAGAGGCATTGCCATATTGAATCAGACTGTTGGTCCATCAAGTTTGGTATCACGCCTCCAGCAGTGGCTAAACCCTGATACTTTAGAGGAAGGCAACCCTCAAAGTCCTCAGAGCATTTCCCTCCCCTGTAGCTGGGGGAGGGAAAAATATTCATCCTAACCCCCGCAAGCAGTAAATGTGTGTCCTATAGAGTGAGCTAGGATTTTCCTAATGTGGAGCTGCAACTATGATTACTAGTTTGAAGCAGGACCGCAGAACAATGTTTGCAAACATTCATTCACATAAAAAGCTGCTAATTCACTTTGACATCATGTGTGACCCTTTTCCGGGAAGGTTCATTTGAGCAAGCAGTTTTGTTTATGGAAAGCAAAAGTTTGTTAAATGCTCTGGAAGCACTTCCCCAAACATTTGACGTACACAAACTTTTCATTTATTTCTATACCTCTCAGTTATCCACACAGGAAAGAGAAACGGTGTTGCCTGACACACATGTTGACTCAGGCAGTGAAATCACAGGCTTGCAAACAGCAAATGCACAAAGTGAAAGACAAAAGAAATGCACCATAGATCAAAAGCAATGTATGGAGAATTCCTGAAGGGAAGTGTGACTTTTTTTTTCCAAATAAACCATTCTGTTACCCAAGCTCTCCTAATGGAACAGTCTGACATTCCTGGAAAATCATCCAGACTATTTAACTTGACCTCCTGTGTCAGCAAAATTCACCGTCTGGATGCAGATTTCTGGGTTGAATCAACAGTTAGCAGAAAGGGCAGAGTTTTAGTCATCTGCCTCCCGACCCATTGAAATATGCTATGTGCCACTGCAGAGCTCAATCTCAACGAAAAATGTTTTGCTGTGTCCTTTCCTGCCTGCTTGCACTCACATCCTTGATTCCACCTGCTCACAAGGAATTCCCTTGTGTCTGAACTCATCTGCAAAAGAAGCACCTGAAATCGCTCCCTTCTTATGATGGGAGGAGCAGCAAGCCATGGATGGCTTTCACAAGCAATCTAGTTTAAAATCATAGAATCAATAGGGTTGGAAAGACCATTGAGATCACTCAGTCCAACCATTAACCCATTACATCCATTCCCATTGAACCATGTCACTCAGTGCCACTTCTTCTTGAACACCTCCAGGAAAGGTGACTCTACCACCTCCCTGGGCAGCTTGTTCCAATGCATCACCAAACAGTGTGTTTAACAGCACATGGAGTTGCAACAGGACTTGACTTTCTTATTATTAATTACAAGTGAGTTTGAGAGATAGGAGAATGTGTAGATAGAAGAGGTTTAATCAGGGCTGGGCATCCTCATTTCCTAATATAAAAATGAAGGTTGAACTCACGAAAGAAATAAGTCTCTTGGGTCAGAATGATGCTGTAACATTTGTATGATAAAAAAGAAAAAATCTGCATTAGAAACACCAAACCACAACAATTGTAACCACCAGCCCAAGTAAACACTTACTTGCACAAAGAGGCTTACCCAAAAACAATTCTCTGCTTTAAGAAATCGTACTTGGTTTTGGTTGGTGCCCTTTGGAGTCCCAGTGTCCCAGAAATGCATCTCATTCACTTAATTTCATAACTAGGCTTGCTGAAATTTTGTCTGGGCAACCAGGCCTCGGCATAGCCTGGCTCTCCCTGTGTCCCCCAACAGCTCTGTGACCCTCATGGAGATGGCTGGTCCACTCTCTCAGCCTAAAAGTTCTCAAGTGCAAGTTAACTGCATTAAAATTGCACATGTCTTGGGTAGGTGGGTAATCCCAGAACTGAGGGTATGAGCCCCATCTTGCTCCCCCAAACATCACCATGCCTTCCTTTCTTCTCCCACCTCCTCAGATCAACCTTATCAGCACAACCTGCGCAAAGCAGGGAGCAGAACTCAATGCGATCTTCTTCTGTTAAATCAATTCCTATTACAGTTACAATTTGTTTTGTAGCTTCTTTAAAAAAAAAAAAAAAAAAAAAAAGACAAAAAAAAAGGAAAAAAAAGGAAAAAGGCAAATGTCTCTCCTGATTTGTTTTTTTTGTTTTTGTTTTTTTTTTCTCCCCATTCCCTACCTCTTCCCCAGGGCCTCCGCTTGTGCCTCTGTGTAAGTCCTGGGGTCTTGGGTGTCAAATGTCAGGCCTTGTACAGAGCTGTCAAAGAGGAGAATAGGCTGAGATGATTGATGACTGCAAAGCCTGAAATCCAAACCTCTGCTGCAAATGCTTCTTTTACAAAAAAGCTGGGGCAACCCACAGTGGCTATATTCAAGGTCAGCTCGCATACCATTACACCCACCGCTTTGGGCTCCTAACAAGCCAACGCATTCATCGAGGATTTCTCGTCTCTCTGTCCCTGTGTGTTTCTCTCACTCTTTCTCTCCCTCCCCTCACTCTCCTGGCAACCCTCTGCCAAAATTTTCAAGCACTTAATCCCAATAAAAAAAGGCATGGCCTTTTTTCCCCTCCCCTCCCTCCCTCTCCTTCAGGCTGCATTCGCTATGAGGAGCCACGGGCTGAAGCTTAATGCTGCACAAGTCAGATGACAAGATTATTAATGGGAGCAGGGCAATGTCATATCTGATTTCATGCATATTCATGAACGGAGTCATACAGCTGGGACCATGTGCCATGAAGAGACAGAGCAAGAGAGAAACTTTTACACCCCCTCCTTGCCGTGAAGAATCTGATCGTGGAGATTAAGAGCCCTGTCTCGCAAAATTCAATTGTTCTCTTTATATGTTAAGAAAAAAAGGGGGAATTGCTTGCATGTTAATAATGATGTGGTGCCAAGATGGTGCGAATATCTCTTTTTCCCTGTCACTGAATTAACTGTCCCAAAGCCAATCCTTCTGCAAGAAGGACGTACACCATCACCTCAAAAGTGAATTATTTCCAAAAGTCCCAGCGTAGGTTAAAAAGAAGAGAGGGAAAAAAAGGAAGCTACACACTGCCAGGATGCATGGTAGAAAAACGGTGACAAACTGAGCAAAGGAGAACTTTATTAGAGGTCTGCTTTGTACTCAGCACCTGTATAGTATTTTAGTCTGTAGCTTTACAGAGCAGCTAGCTCCTCTTACCTTTACAATAGCGCTTTCCAAAACATGGGGAATTTTATTCCCATTTTACACCTGGGTAAATTGAGGCATAAAGCTTTTATGGTTTATTGGCCCCATATCTACCTTATCAGAAAGGTTCTCATTACCTTAGCAGGACAGGGCCTGTAGGCACTTGAGCTGAAGTCAGGAAGTGAATAGCAGGGTGGTAATGCAGCTATAAGATGGAGTTAATTCTGTCTTCTGTTTGTTCTATGTTGAGAAATAACGCTCCTTCCTGCAAGACACCAGGACAAATAGAAAACTGTAGACACCGTGGCACTTAGCAAAAGATCTATGTTTTTTTTTCCCTATTCAAAATCCATCAGTATTATTTCTGAGGCTCCATGAGAATTAAACTCTGTTACAGCTGTCTGACACACTACTTCCAGGTAAAAATCTGTGTTTCAGGCTCTTAAAATAATCCGTTCAACCAAGCAGCAGTGTCTATTTGTGAAGAGACTGAGGCACGCCATTCCTTTGGACAGGTGAGGACCAAAATAAATAACAAAAGCAGCATCTGCAACTGTGAAATCAATTTAGAATTTAATTGCTGAAAACTATCTGACGACAAACTATAACAGTGCATGAAACAGTCCTGTAATGGAAGCGGTGGGTATTCCTGGAGTCGTTCACAATTAGCTGTGGATAAAATACAAGATTACAGTAGGAAACCAGCCTGGATATTGGCTCTAGCAAATAGGCAGACGACTTCTTTGCACCTTTAATTGCTATCATTCAAGGCCAGCAGCATATTCTCTCACGAGGATGCCAAACAACCCACGTGATCCAAACACTCTTTGGTACAAGCTGATCTCAGTTACCCGTAGGGCTATCACAACAGGCTTCCTGGCACAGAGCGACAGAATGGGAATATCTGGGCAGATTCAGGCTTTCTGAAAAATGGTGGCTTTATTCTACTATGGGTAAAAGGGATGAAGACAGGCTTACTGCTGTTTTCCTAGAAGCTCATTCCGTGACTACACACAAATACGTTCCCAGCTACGCAAACCTCACTGTGAAACATACGTATTTACAGAGAGAGCCCAGATCTAGACAGGAGCAGGAGATAAAACCACAAGTATCTTTGGAAAGAATGACTGAAAATTTGCTGGGCTGTGGCTCTAACAGGTATAGTTCGACATGAGCTGGGAAAAGTGGTTGCAGTGTGCAATAAATCAAGTTCCATTGCAGTTGTAGGGCAATACATCTTCACTTGGTAGAGGCAGAGCACACTGCAGGAATCTGGCTGTGCCACTGGACCACCAAATGACCTTGGGTGGCTCGCTTTGCCTCCCAGCTCTCCGCTTCCCCCATCACTAAATGAACAGTGTCAACTACCTTCATTAAGTGCTTTCAGAGTATTTTATAACAGCAAGATATTGCTGTTATTACCATGCAGATGGCTGTGACTTTGTCGTAATCACCTATCAGATGATAGTGACAGTCTTGAGGGTTTCTCTTGAGCCCATGCATAGAGTACTGTTAAATATCAAACCTCGTTTTAATTTCTATATTTGAGGATGTGACCTCATATCTGTAATCATTTCTCAAGTAGTGAGTAATATAAAAGACTGAAAAAAAGTCATTTTTCTCATTCAAACAAGCGAAATGAAAAAAATAAAAAAAAACTCCACAACTGATAGAGATTATAACAGTGGGAAGAACATGACAGTGATATCAGAAGAGAGGAAATAACATGTTAATGACATTCAATATTCTCCCTGTGTCAAGTCATCAGCATTTTTATTGCCACTTTTCCTCCGAATACAGTATCAGAATTTATTGAGACAATCTGTCTCCATCACCTGTGATATAATATATTTTATTCAATAAGATATAGAATAATATTTATCTTTCAACTCCAATGACTAGTTTTAAGGGCAATAACAGCTTTTTACACAACAGCTACAAGTGTAGGAGTTTGTAAGTTTTAACATCAGGCCTAGGGGCTACAAAGACTTTCCCATCAGAAACAGAGCAGTGAAACACTTGTACTTCTGCCTCGCCAGTTTTTTGACTGTTTGCCCTTTGCTATGGTTCTCATTTGTAAAAGAGCTAGTGCCAAAAGACAAAACAAATGGTCCCAATACAGCTCCTGTGAGTACACATTTAATGGAAACTGAGGCTGGAAGAAGCTGGTACTTGTCATAAATTCAGGAGCTCAGCAGTAGAGCCTGGTGTTTGATCTCCAAGGGGAAGAGGACAGCCAAGAAAAAGTTCCCACATTACTGCAGAAGGAAGGCAGGCAGGGGAGAGGCTGGAAAAGGAAAGTGAAGAAAGCCAAGGGTTTGTCATCTCTGGTGCAGAGCATGTGTCTGCATTTTAACCACCCAAGCCAACTTTTCAGCTGGCCATCCTGGGTAGCAATGTGGAGGGAGGACAACTTGACTGTCCATAAGAACCAGAGATAGAGGTGATCTCAGCTTCCAAACAACCCCCTCTGGATATTTCTGATATTGGCCAACAGCCTTAAAAGTAGCAGGAAAGGAAGAAAGAGAATCACTGCAACTAGAAATGTCTAGCAGTTTCTGTTGGTTTTGTGTTTGTTTGTTTTCTTGATAGGGAAAGCAAAAGCAGTAACACTGGAGAGAAGATGGAAACCAACTTTGAAATACAGCCACAGCTGTTCCTGCTTTTGCTCTCCTCCCTTCCCTCAATCACACTACAAGAAAAGGCTGTGTACTTCAAATCATTTCCTGCCTGCAGCATCCTGATAAAGCCAGGCTTCCTGCCATTTGCCCAGCATGCTGGCACTCTGTCCTGTTCTTGTTCCCCTTGACATGTCCTAAGGCCTTCAATCAACCTGCTCTGCAGATCTCTGGGCTATCTGTGATCAGAGAACAAAATGCCATAAAATCCAAGAAACGGCTCTGGCTATGCCTACAATGGCATCCTAAGCAGCCACACCAACCCCTAAAACCTGTTAATTCCCATCAGCCCTGTTCTACTACCCTCTTTCCAAGCAAACTCAGGCCAGCTGATGGTTCTGAGCTGCCTCCAGCAGATCATGTGCTCCATCTGGGAAGAATGGGAAGAAAACTCTCTTGGCCGTAAGTGAGGACCAGCCAGGGCTTTGTAAAGGGGATGAAGATCATTCTCATTGCCTTTGCACATTTCCTAGCTCACTGGGAACAGACAGCCACAGCAACACCTTGTAACCACTGGGGTTTTTAAAAAGCTGATGCAAAAGGAGTGAGAAAAAGATCAGGCAGTGTTGAGATGGAAGAGTCAAGTTTTTATGGCCTGAGTATCTGTGGTTCTACATAGGCCAGGCTGCCAAGAACAGCTTAGAGACTCTGCCAGAGCTGCAAATTCACCCCAGGAACCCAGAAATGCTCAGTTGTCTTCTGATAACATCCCTTAAAACATTTCATCTCCCTGAGTAAGGGATTGCTTGGGCCTGGTTTGCAGTTTGGTGGCTGTGGTGGAGGTTTGATCATGTACTGCTACATTCATCCTCCCTGCAGTGCCCACCAACCTTCTGCCAAAGCAACAGGTCCCAGCAGACCACATCTGCTTGACAACAGGCAAATGTCATTTTTGAGTACATCATATTCAGCTTTTGTCCCTGTAGCCACATCCATCTGAACCTACTGCCAGTTTATTCCCTTTAACGAATCCCCCATGAAACAGCCAAGGGCAAACATAAACCTTGCTTCTCAAGTTGCCTTTCATGGGCTGATGGAAATGAGACAGCCACAGTCAGTTTCAGTGCTGCCTGCCCCAACCAAGCTCTCCCTGCCTTTCTCCTATTGTAAGCTTATGATATTTGCAGCCTTGCAGCAGCCTTCTGTGGACTCCTGCCTTCATGTGCCTCCTGCACCTGCATATAGCACCAAGGGGCTACCAGAAGACCTCTCTGTTGCCCACAAAGCTGTGCTGTCTCTCTTCCTTTCCTTTCCCTCCATCTCACACTCCTCTGCTCTCTCCTGGCAGTGTGGCTCCTTGCCAGCACATTGCACTGCCTCTGGGCATCTCACACTCCTTGCTTGGCTGACTCTTTACTCACCTGGCCCCACTGGATCTTACTGATTTCATTCCTGCCTTCCCTTTAGGCATAAAAGTTGTCGTTATTACATTTTCCACTCCCTGCTGGGCCATTGCTTTACCTTCCTAGTAATTCAGGATAGTTTCAAGTAATTTTGGAGGGGTTTTAATTTGAATTTCTTCTTTCTCAGTTCAGTGAATGGAAGGTGCTACTTTCACTGCATGACAGTAGCCTTACACATGTGCACACGTCATACACACGTTCTAGACAGTGTTAGATACCAGCAGTCTGTATGTGTATACACCCTGTTCACTGCAGGGCAGTTGGACTAGATGACCTTTAGGGGTCCTTCCCAGCCCAAACGATTCTATGACACATATGCGCTCTGATTGCTGTGGAGTTCCGGCCACCCTCTCCTCCCATGGCACTGAGACACACTGACCTCCCATTGCTTCCTATTCACTAGACACCAGGGTGTCTGGATTTATCCAAATGAGCAGCTGAATGAAGTTCCTGCTACAATTTTTTTTTATTTCAGAAAAGAAGACAAAGAGCTTTCTCGTGACTGATGTGCAGAAAGCACTTCCCTTACCTCTTTACCTCTGCTCACACACGCACGCACCCCAGCCAGCAGGCAGCCAGGCAGATCAAACAGGAAAAGCTTTGGTGGGAGAAAGAAATCAGCTACAGCTATTTGGCATCCTATCCTCAATTACTCTGCACACATTGTCACAGTCCCAGCTCATATAAGAAATCTGGTGTGAGCAGTACAGGCTGGCTTTGGCCCATCTTATTTAAACTAACAGAAGTACCCACAGAGTTTTATATGGCTTTGAATATTGCAGGAGTGTTAAAAGGAAAGCAAACAGGTGGTCTTTTATTAAAAAAACTGACATTTTATAAGCACGTAATATCAGACAATGTACATAAGAAATATAAAAAAACTGTATGGGAAGGCAGCAAGCAAACACCCATCAAAATTTATTTATAACATAAGCTCCTACTCTCATACCTGATACACAGATTTGCACTGTTATTTCCCAGTGGAGCCTTGAGAAGGGTTTGCTCTGACCATCTGAGCTCCCCATTTTTCTGGGCACAGTGGGAGGCCCTGAACCTGATTTTGGATAAGAACTACCTGGTAGTCTGTATAACTGCAGTGGTGTCACATCCTCTTGTTTTTATCCAAAAATGAAGGAAGTGGGCATCTTCAATTGCAAAATAACTTTATTGGGTGATACTAAACT